CTTTTGAGAGACAATATCTTTATTTATCATGCACTTTTTTGATTAACAACTTTGCAGATTGTTTTCATTTAAGGATAGCTACGTTATAAACTGCAAAAGAGATATTTTTCAAAAGCCCATATGACCTACGCTTTAAAACTGGAAAAAAAAAAAAACATCATCTTTGATTAAAGATGAGCTTGCACATGCTCATTAGATTTATCTAAATCAAATAAGCAGGACGGTTTCAGCTCAGCAGTAAACATCAGCTGAACTAATTTCTTAGCTTTGGCAGTGTTTGAATGAGTGGGTGTTTATAAACTAGAGAAAATATTTGTATATATGAATCTGCCTTTGGATTTGTTGATTCTGTGGTATGATCAGATTGGAACACACCTGTGTGTATGTTTTCCTCTTGTGCCACATAGCTGAGGCTCATCTCCAGAAGGCCATATGGGTCCTGCTGAGCTTCAGCCTGTTCCTCCTGCAGCCTTTGGCCTGCTGGTCCACAGCAGCACAGCACGGCTCACCTCAACACACATTGCAGGGGCTGTCTGCCAGAACGCAATACAAACTAAAAACACACAGGCTCTGGTGTCCTTGAGTTTAAACATTCTGCTGCATTTGAAAGCATAACCATCCTCAAACCACTCACCCGCCTCCCAGTCCTGATGGACTTCTGCTAGATACTTCTGTTATCTATGGAAGTCTGTTTCTCCCAAAAATTAGTTGGTAAGTCATAAAAGGTAAAAGTTATTAGGTAAAAAGTCACTGTTATGACACAAGTCGAAATTATGACAAAAAAATGAAGTTCTAAACGTAGGTTCAGGAGGAGCATAATCATTCAGTCCTGTCAATCATCATTACGAGTCTATATAAGCAGCTGTCATTGCACCGTCCCAGTGTCAATTCTTTCGGCATCCCTCCACCTCCCCATCTCCTCCTCTATTTCTCTTATTCTCCCTCTAGGTAGTATCGCAATGGGGGGTTGAACTCTGCGCTCAAGCCGAGCCTCAGGTTAGAGCCTCCATTAAGAACAGCAAGCCACGTTCGTTTACCATTAACCGTCAGGACTGGATGGGCAGGTGAACTCGTGAATTAAAAATGAGAAGTCTATTATCACATAAAACTTTGACTTTTTGACTTGGTTTCACATGATTTTGACCTTTTGTCTCTTAATTTTGACAATATGTCATATTTTTCCATCATAATTATGAAATTGTCATAATTTTGACTTTTGATGTCATAATTATGATTTACCAAAGTGTGATTTTTTTCACTTTGTGGCAGAAATAGGCTTCTGTCGTCATCACGCATTCAAAGATGGAAATACAATTATTACATAAAGTCAAAATTACGACAAAAAGTTTAAATACTGAGTTAAAAAGTCAATTATGACATGAAATTTCAACGTTGTTACTTGTTATTATGACTTAGTATCTAATGATTTTCAGTTTTATCTCATAATTGACATAGAAAGTCATATTTTTGAAATTTCATAACTTTTTGGGCTTCCATAGTCATCGCACATTTAAAAGATGAAAATAAATCACTTAAATCACATCGAACTTTAGGTCAGATTTGAAGCATTTCCTCATTTATCACCCAGTATCTGCTTCGCTATCGTAAGTTAATAAGAGTCTGCATGGCTACCGCCATCCATGGATCTGATTGCAAAAATATAATATTATGAAAATGAAATGTGAGCTTTGCCAGGCTACCTCACTCCCTCAAATCAAACTTGGCAGAAACAGTCTATTGCAGGAGACATGAAAAGAAACCAGGAACAGAGTAGAAAATAGTCCTTTCAACGAAACGAGGGGGAGGAGGTTTGCCGTGAAGAAAAGGTCCACCAGGAGTGGTTCCTGTCATGCACTTGGGCCATGTGGAGTGGGGTGGGGAACCAGGAACAATGAAGACAGTCATACAGTGAGGCAAAACAAGACCCAGATGTTTCCAATCAATTCCCTGTATGAGATAAGGTTTCATATGAAGCCATGGAGAAACATGCCTGATAAGATTATAAAACATGGAGGACTCTCAGCCTCTCTCTCCCCTCCTCTCCTCATCATTTTGACTTCACTGTGACTGTACACTCTCTCTCGCTGTCCAGTGTGGAAAGACTGAATGAACAAAACATCTAGGTGAGCCAAGTTCTGGTTCAGGGTGGGGGAGCGTGCACACACACACACACACACTAGACCAGATGTGTATTTAGGGATGGGCAAATGCAAGGTTAGAATATGGGTTTTTATCACACTCATTGTTCTTAGTCCTGTTGGAGTCACTTTTAAAACCTTATTTTTGTGAGCATGCGCAGAGCAAGGCTGCTTTCTGAACGCACAGTTGAGTTTTCGTGAAAGATTCAGCTCATATGGTCTTGTTGCACACGAGTGGGTGAGGTCTCTCCGGCGCAGTTCATGGGAGTTTTGAGCTGTGATTTGCTGTGATCTAGTGTGAACTGGAGCGCTGCAGAGCTCCTCACAGTGGACAGTCAATTACAATGCATAAAATGCCTTCACTGTACGCGCAATCCCGAGCAAGAGTCTCCGCCAACACTCTTCAGCGCTGGCGAAACACGCACTTTTAAAGGGAGTTTACCGTAACAGCAGAAAAGATGCCCTTCTGCAAGAGGACCATAGTCCCTAAAGATGTGTGCAAGAGCGGCGGCAAGAGTCGCGGTGCGATGTTCACGGATCTGGTGGATGTGTGCGGCTTGACTCTGTGCGCGGTGCTCCGGCAGCTGTCGGATTTATCCCGTCAGTCAGTGAGCATCCTGGAGGAGCTGGAGGGAGAGCTCGCCTCCATCTGCTACCGCTCCGGAGCTCTGGAGAATAAACTTCTCAGCCTGCAGAAGCACATCTCAGCCCTGGCCACCAAACCGCCGGTCAAAAGTAGGAACTTTTCAGTACTTTACACGCTCTTGCTGACTTACAGATGTGTGTGGTTGACTTGTTTACTCACTTTGCTAATTGTCAAGTTCAAGGTCTTCTTTACTCGTGTTTACATTCACCAAACAACATCGCGCGCAACTATGTAAACAAAACACCACTTGACTTTCATTCTTGGGCTGCTGAGCATATTTTGAGAACAATAACGTCTTTATTAATTCTATAGATATTGTGTTCAGTCTCTAAATGTAGCTGTTTCTTCTCTCGCTGTAAATATGTAGAGATGGAGGGAAGATGGTCCTTTTGGAAAGAACAAATGTCCTTTTGTTCAAAACATGAAGCTAGTTTTTAGTTCTAAAAAAATAAAGTGCAAAGTCACTCAATAATAACAATCAAGAATTTTACCATTGTGGTTCTAGGGATCCTAGGGGTCAAATTTGACCCATATTAAAAACTATTTAACAGGTCAACAGGTGTGTTTTTATTTGGTGCCACGGAATATGATATGATATGTTATTAAAATATGATTTTAATATCAAATATTGATGGAGTCAGTAACACCATTTGACAAATAAGAGGATGAAATGTTAAAGAATTTTGGAACAATTTCTGCAAAAGGTGTCAGGTTTCCTGGTTAATCACTTTTAGTATTTCATAATAGCTCACATATTTTATATCAGCTTCTATATTATTTTGCTATTAATTATTAAACATTGTATACAGAGCTGCAGCTTTAGGTGCTTTTTATGAATTAACCTCCAGTGTAACTCAATCAATCACTATGAACTCATCGCAAAAAAAAAAAAAAAATCCATTCCTCATATGCTAAACAGTTTGTTGCAGTGCTGCAGGTGTTTAGGAAAGTGCTGTAGTTGCTTTTTTTCTTGTAGTCTAATGTTTTAGGAGAAAATTACAGCTCCATTGTATCCCATAATAAAGAACAATATGTCATAATGTGTCACCTTCGAAATAAAATATAAAATATTTTTTTTGTGTCAAATTTGATTTGAAAATTTGATCCAAAAGATTAAAAGTCTTAACTTGTTCTTCAAATGCATGATGAATTTGACATCTAAAGACCACTGACAAAACAGTTAATTTTATTAAACATTTTTAATTGCTTTTATTGTGCTGTATAGTCTTTTTGCCATTTTGTTTAATGTAATTTTATGACCATTACCAGGTTAGTACTAACAATAACTGTTGTAACTGTGGAGTTTGGGAAACTATGGTTACCATGATGCATTTATGTAAGAGAATAGAATCAGCTCTAGTATCTTTTTGTAGATTCATTTGTGACGTGTGTTGTCAGTTTTTACTATTATTACTGCCAATGTATCTAGGCTGCGTTGGCGAGGGAGAAAGATGGCGTAAAATTGCTATTGCCACAAACGTATAGTGAACAAACAAGAGATGGTCTTGTTTAAACAGAACAAATCAGTGTCAGTAGAAGTCATTTGACAGCTATTCAAGTATTAGGGTAATGACCAACACATTCACTTCTTAATGAACAGTAAACAAATACATTGTCCATTCCACAAAGGCTGTTTATTACCAACGCATTCACACTTGGCTTTGTGTTTAACGTTCACATTATAATCTGTTGTTTTTAAATCTTTCCCATTTGCATTTGAGACGCATTTGGCATCTACTCCCCCTGACACCTCCCACACTGCTCTGTGCACTGAAACTAGATAAACCTTGCCAACTTTCACCATCTGAAGATGTGCAGAATATTTCCTCCATCCATTTCCTTTGTCTTATCAGGGAAAGCCTCTCTTATTGTTTAGCTTAACCCTGAGCCCGGCACATTTGGCAGAGTGCTGGAGTGCTTCTTTTCCTCTGTCCTTATCATTTTACAGTGGCAGACCACAGTAGAAATAAAGCGTGGAGATTATCCTCTAAGTTCAGCAGGAGATCACTGGTACTGTATTTGTTTAATACCGTAATCGTGAAGCATTAGCCGCTTGGACATCCGCCATGCTTTGACATGTGGAAGATAAATGATGTGGATCTCTGTATGCAGCGGATTCTTTGGCTGGGAACTCTTCTCCACTGCGGTGTGGGGACCGAGGTCAGGCCCCTCTGGAGACTGTTTGATGGGGACAGGAGGTGAAGGAGCAGACTGGAGGCTTGTTTTTACAGTTACTGAACCAGGGACAGTTGATTCAGCTCTTCCTGAATGTCAGTCAACTCCAGCGATTACTGCCTCATTCCTCAGGCATTCACGTGAAAGTCACAAGACCAAGTCAAGTATGTGTGTGTTTAGGCAGAAGACAGAAGCATCAAGTGGGTTATTTAAGGAGTTCTGATCCTTAAACCTTTTCTCTCTCTTTTTTTAGTTAAGTTTTAGGGCTTAATTTGATAGGACAGTTGAGGAGAGATTGGGATCGGGAAAAAACGGAAGTTCTGGGACTCAAACTTGTGTTGCCTGGAGGCTATGGCTCCAGCTCTTTAACCTTTTCTTTTCTACATTGTGGTGTAGATACGCTTTATCTCTGAGTTTTTATATTAGAGATGCATAATGAATCGGGAATCCCAACAATATAAGAGACTTTTTTTTTTTTAAATCTATCAGTATTGGCCGATGTTGGACATTTGATTGTGATTGCTCTTTCTCTCATTTTTACATTTTGATTACATTTGCCGTCATCTAACTCTCATTTAAAAAAAAAAAAAATCCCTAATACACTCTAAAAAATGCTGGGTTAAATACAACCCAGTGCTGGGTAAAATAGGGACAAACTCAGCAATTGGGTTGTTTTGACCCAGTGGTTGGGTTACTACCCAGAAGGTTGGGTTAAACATTTAAACCCAAAATAGTTTGTCCCTATTTTACCCAGCACTGGGTTGTATTTAACCCAGCATTTTTTAGAGTGTAATTTAAAAACACAATCAAATGTAGTCTTAAGGAAATCAAATTAAATAATTGATGTACCTTTTCATACTGTACTTTAGCTTACTTTGCAATGCAGAAGTAAGTTATTTTCTGTAAATGATTCATTGGCCAATCAAAACATTAGTGTTCCAAACTAGTGTGTTTATGATTCCGATAATGAATTAAAATAATATGATAAGAAATATCAGTTCGCAATATCAAACAGCATAACAGACAGCACAAATAACTGGAAGTGGTAGAATCCACACCCACTCTTACATTACAAATTAGGCCTAGTTGCATTTAAAGTGATTGATTTTAGTTATTCATTTGTAATTTTACTATAAAAATAATTATCAGCTTATTGGTATGATTTCATTTATTTATTCATTTTATATACATGCATTGCTTTGTATCCCTGCTGGCAAGTGTTTAGTATCTGTAAGCTCGTTGTTTGATGTCTATTAATAGACTGTTCTTCCCAAGCACCGCCAATAAGCAAATCGGAAATTCTCAAAATGTACGTTTAAATGAATAAACTTGATTTATTCTGATCTTTTTGAGTTCGTCTCCCTGGCTAGAGAGTTCCATATATCTGTAAATGGTTATGTGCAAAGTGTCATGAATCTGGTGCAGATTATGGATGTAAATCTTGAAGTGACTTTCATATTAATGTTTGAAGATTTATATAGATAGAATATCCCTGACTTTTAGAGGCAAAGTGTGAAGAATGCTCTGAACTGAGCGAAGCCATTGCTTTTTTCAGCGGCTTTGATAGTCTGCAAGATTAACTGGAATTTTAATAAGAGTGTGTGAGAGAGCAAGAGAGGATAGATGGAATGAGTGAGACAGAAGATCAGAGAAACGGAGGATGGAAGGAGAAAAGTGAGTGGGCCAATGTGTTCAAGGACAGAGTGGCAAATATGTATTCATCTGACTGGAGAAGAAACTTCAAATTGTCTTATTTTTGGCCTCTTTTGCTCCTTCAGCTCTTCTGGTCTGGGCTCCTGAGTTGCCATAGTAATGGTCATATTATTTTAAATGACTAAAAACCCATGCAGACCTTTTCATTGCATAAACCCAACCATAGTTACAAGAAGGTGTCACCTCTCACGCTATAGTATGACAAAATACAATGCCATGTTCCCATCTCAAGTTGGATTATTTCTCACTTTGACCTTTTTACCAAAGACAAATCAACAAGCACAAAAGGAATGAATTTGTCTGAAATTAAATGCAACAGTTACGCAACAAGTCCAAGAGCTTCCACCTCCAGAAACTCTATTTCTTTCTACCTTTAATGTGCTTATTTTTTGGGCTAAGAAGGGTTGACGCATAAATTCTATAACATTGTGCGTATGTCTGCCAGATGCCTACCTTCTCTCTATCTGGAGAGAAACTCAGCTCCAGCACACTCTCTCAAGCCAGAGTTGTGCTGTACAGACATTTTGTGTGTGTTTTTATGTTGAACATATGTAAGTCACTGCTCGCCTTTCCTGTCCTGGCGTCCCATCTCTAGGCAGTTGTGCAACTCTTGGCAAGAAAGGGTTTGGCTTTGAGACTAGACCGAGTGTGTGTGTAATACACTACAGTCCATCCAGCTCTTACTATGACACACAATAGTGCTGTAATGTAGCAGAGGTCGACATGCTTTTGGCCCCCCAGACACACTGAAACATTACTAAAACAGATAAACTTTTGCTTAAAGGAATAGTTCACCCCAAAATGAAAATTTGCTGGAAATGTACTAACCCCTCAGGCTATCCAAGATGTAGATGAGTGTGTTTCTTCAACTGAACATTTGGAGAAATTAATTTAGCCTTACATCACTTGCTAACCAGTGGTTCCTCTCCAGAGAATGGATGCCAACAAAATGAGTATAATGATTTAATGAGTTTAAGCAAAAGCGTAAAAATATGAATCACAATAATCCACAAGTAACAGCATCCTTCCCTGCAGAGGATCCATTGGTGAGAAATTGGTGATGTAATGCTAAATTCCCCAAATCTAAAGGTGAGTGTTCTAGTATGTTACAAAATGCATAGGCATAAAAGTATTTATTTTTTTAAATGCAGATAATTTTATATTAAAATAAAATAAAAGACTACTTTAGTTTACGCTTTCA